ACGTGGATTGAGGAACCTAATTGCTTCAGGGGACTACTGGTGCCACCTGACGTTTCGAGGGAGCCAGAAGTTCCGCTTACTGTGTTCGGCGAGCCGAAGGAACCACCGAGATTCTTCAGAGAACTGGGAGTGTCGTCTGGCACGGCTTGGAAGCCAAAGCAGGTTGGAAAACTTCCTCTTGTGGTTTTTAGAAACGCGGAACCTTTTCTTTATGACGCCTCTAATTTAGGTTCATGGCGCATGGGCGATAGAAGACAAATATGCCATTATAACTGCAATACTACTTCCCCGTCTACCCTCTCCCCTATTTTTGTCGTCTAAGGAAAGCACTTAGTTTGTGACCGGGCCGACAAAACGCTTTGACTGAAAATGAGAGTTACCTTGTAACAGTGAGTATGACCCCAAACATGTATACGTGGGCCGAGGTCGATCAGTATAAGCAGGAAAAGCGCTTTAGTGCAATAGGCAGCGCCAGCTTTGTCTTTTTTATGCGTGAATTGTAAAGGGCTCGCGTGCCAATACATACAACCCCCATCGATCGTGCCTTTGATATAGTGATTAGCTGCAAAGATTTAGAGCCCGAGAGAAGCTTAGCACTTTAGACATGGAAGGCGCTGAGCTGTCTTAATGGACACGTGCTTTATGTATGACTTAATCAAGAGAGCAAAATCAACAAAATGGAATCTCTAACGTAATATGAATTTCGAAAGAATTGTTCAAAAATATAATAATTTATTACTTTGAAAAACTTGCACATATTAAACGATCCCTTTTATGTTCGTCGTTCATTTGTCCCTGGCGCCAAAACGGTGACTTGGCTTACAAATCCAACGTCAGATTGAATGTCGATACACTGGCATCAGTGCCTCACGTGCTACGATTTTAAATTCGGACAAAGCTAACTATATGGATTTGAGCTCTGAAGCGTACATGTGGCTTATGAACATACAAGAGCGTATTGATTTCCACATTGATTTCCATATTGATTTCCGTATTGATTTCCAATTTTTTTTTTTCTGCAGATAGTGATAAATTACAGGTATGTACAGTGCTCTTCAAACTTATTTGGAAGACGCTACCGGTGTCTCACCTTGTGGGAGCGCTGTCCTGGCGGCAACCAAAAAACTTCTCCGTGATGATTGCATTCAATAGAACAGTCGGACCAGGGGAGGCCGCCCGCTCCAGCCCGAAATCGCTGCTGGATCGGGGACAACACGGCAGCTTTTCCTGCAAGGCGATCTACACTTTTTGCTTTATTCGGTTGAGACATCAGGTGCTTACTGATGCAATCATCCAATCACTGACTGTTTCCCCAACCATCTATATTCATCTTTGTATAAAAAGGTGGCGATATGTATACATAGTGGTCGGCCGTCAAAACTGCTGCGGTGACCATCCTAGCGAGCGGCCTGCCCAGCTTGGGCTGTTCCAATGAGCGCTACGTCATACGGCAGTTCTTCGGCCGCCGCCAGGATAGCGCTGCCATAAGATAAGACACCGTTCACGTGTTGCGCATAAGTTTGGAGACCCCATGGAGCCGAATGCCTTTTTACCACCTGAGTGGCAGCCTCACTAAGCCCTGCTGGAACCTCCTTTTGGGAGTGCCCTGCACCTACACCTGGATAGCTGCTTCCACCTTACAAGTGACAACGAAACGGCGTCCTCGCTGGAGCTTTCTCATGACATCCAACAGAGGTTAAGTACTGAGAGGCCGGTCAGGCCACACCCACGCACGATTAAACGTCCGAATGGTCGTACGACGTGTCAGAGAGACGGCCGAACCCATGGGGCGCCTGTCAATCACTGTGTCGTGTTCATTCACGTGAGGCCGTGATTGACCGGCGTCTGATTGGACTCGAATGTTTCTCTGACACGTATTACGGCCAGTCTGGTCGAGCATGGGTATGGCCTGACCGGGCCTCCAAGAATTTTATCGTTTGAGCGGTATAAAAAAAAAATTGCGAGGACGTTTTTTTTTTTTTTTTTTGCGGTTATTTGTAAGCGGGAAGCAGCGGTACAAGCGTGGGTGCGAGGCACTATTAAAACGTGGTTTCAGCAGGGCTTGGAGAGGCTGGCCCACAGGTGGTGCAAGGGCATTCGGCTCCAGGGCCCGTTCGCTCGAAGTCGGTTAACGTTAACCACGGTAAGAATAAAGTTAACCGCATTTCCCTACTACCAACGTACTACAACTTGTACCTAGCCAAGTTTGACGAGGGCTGGATGCGCGACAGCTCTGTGTTTTATTATGGGGTGGTAGCTCGTGTCATCAATGGTTGTAGCGAATATTAGTGACTTTCTGAGAAAACTTTAAAAAAAAAGGGACCTAAGTACGCACCCCGTCGGGTTTACGTGACGCAGAGCGGCATATAATTGAGCATAAGAAAAACATTTACGTTGCTCGTGGTACAAACAATAAGTAATGTAAGACCCAGTCGACCCCTGTTTGGAAAATTATTCATTGGCTGGCTGTCTGAAGTCAAGAGAAGCCTCGTTGAAATTTTCTTTCCAGTCCGAAAGAGGACGGCGAAATTCAGTGCTAGAAATGATCAGAGGTGAGCAGTGAAAGGCGGGCGGCACACCGACAGCATGGTTAGCCAGCGTGTTAGAGCAATACATAGAACCTTCTTTTTAAAATCACAATCGCGTTTTCGGCTCCAGTGGAAATCGGTACGCGACCTGCTGTTGCGTGCTATCAATGCCCGGTCAATCGAGTCTATATAACCCACTAGGATTCGAAAGACGTTGCCATGTCGACAATTACCGCGTCCCTTTAGGCTTAGGAATGGCCAGAATCGAAAAACTGTCCAGAAAGCGGGCGAGATAATTCCTCATACTTTGCGACTTAAGTGAGGTAAGGGAAAGTGAAAGCCTCCGGTACCATTCATTGCTGAGAAACGTGCCCGACACTGTCATCGACAAGGTCATCGAGCCAAGCCGAAGCTTGGCTGGATGACCTTACGTGCAAACCACGAGAAACAATAACAAATCTTTTGTTTAAACTCATGGTGCCGCAGGTCATATCCAGACCCGAAGAGAAAATCTACGTGGGATACACGGAACCAGGTTCTTGGCATAGCCGACAAGCCCCACCACGGGTCTCGAGCGTCGATGTCAGTCGAGGCTGGGGTCGTACTCAGAGCCGCGAGACGTCGTGGCAACCTAGAAAACGTCCGCGTTCCGAAGAGGTGCAGCAGCAGGCTGCTCTTCGAGAACTTACCTGGTCAACGCACCGCAAAGGTTCTGAAATCCGAGGCTTCTCGTCCTCGTTCATAAATCCGCAGGCCCATATACGCACTGCCGCCAACTACAGTCAAAATAAGAAACCAAGAGACGTTAGAGTGTTGCAGGTTGAAGAGCGCAGAGACCAAAACATGAAAGTGAAAACAAACAAAAATGCTGTTAACGTTGGGATAACAAAAGCCATAATTGATGCATACAATCCTCTGAATTCAACAGTTCCCAAAGCAGACGGCGAGGTAATAAAGACATTGTCAAGGAAAAAATCTAAAGTAATCTCGGATGTAAATTTAGCGGTACAGGAAACGGACAATAATTTAGGTTCAATCTCTGGTGCGATCTCACTGTCTGGTGCCAATTTGAAAGCCACAAACGTACCAACTTCAAAGGAAGTTAAGCCAACATTAAAAGAGACATCAAAGCCAACAGCAAGGCCAATGGCAAAAGATACTAACCGCCCCAGCTTTTCGTCAAAACTTTTGTCCAAATTTTCGTTGAAATCTAAGTTGAAACGTTCAGACAGTCTACTAACGGATGGGTCACCACACTCGGCAACGGAGAAGTCTAATTGGAGGTTGGAGCAAAACTTGCATCCCGAAAAGGGCAGTCCTAAGAGAGACTCCAAAGCGGCATGTGAATCAGCCCCTAGAACGGATTCAACTACCGGACATAAAAAGCAGCCCCAAAAAATTAATTTAATGCAACAATCTGGGGCTGCACAAGGAAAGGGAACAAACGCCAAGTTAGACTCAGTTGCGAAGCCGTTGCCTGCTCCGTCTGTACTAGCAAAGTCTGTTTGCGAGACAACACAAAAGAAAAAACAGACAAAGTCAGACAGTATACTAGAAGAAACGAAAGTGCCTCTTTTCGAAATTGGCGTTTCTAAACTGGGTTTTTTGGGTGAGACAGGTTTAATTTCCAGACAACGAGAGCGACTTTCAAGAGACGGTGCCGAGAATATATTGAATGACGAAAATCAAAAAGCTACAACAAAAGATCAAATTGCTACAACATCGTCTGAAGCTCTTTCAGAACAAGCACAACTTATGCCAACTCAACTTTCCTTAGCGCCACCGGAGCATCTAGGTCCAAAGAAGACAGCTATGCAGAACCTACTACCAAAAACAGACGCAACAAAGAACACGCAGAACGCTGATACAGGTCGACTTGAAACTAGCTTCGAAAATGACTCTGCGAAGTTCGCAGATACCTGGGATTCCCACACATTCGAAGAAATGGAAACAACAACAAACATTAAAGATGTGGAAACTCTCCACGCCGCTCTGCCAGAAACGGCAAAGCCAATGCAGGCCTCTCTTAAAAAATATATGGTAGTGATTCCGGAAACGCAGAATTTAAGCAAGCTAAAGGGATCACAAGGAGATACACGAGAAGAGCATTTAAGCCAAGAAAACGAGGGGCAAGGCAAGGAGCAGCCAGAAAATTTGCCTTCCGGGCTTTCTGATATCCCGTGTTCCGACCTTAAACAGACCAAAATAGAAACAGAGGTTAAGAAGACAAGCGCTCTACAGTCGTCACTAGACACAAGTTTATCGTTTTCCCGAAGAAAACGATCAACGGAAGCCGAGTCGCAGGCGACACTTGATACTCCAATAGCAGAGGCTTGTGCTCCGATGGTCGCTCCCAATTATTTGGAACCGCTCTCGGGTCTTGTGGAGGAAGGTTCAGTTATCTTCCAGGAGGTAGGAAATTACCAAAGCAAGGCCCAAAGTAATCCAGCCCCACTGAACTCCACAGCCAGGATGCATAATAATAGCGACCTTGCCCCCGAAAAAGGCGTCGTGGCAGAGAAAATGTTTAATCTGGAAAAAAGCCGAACTCAACCCGGTGAGGCGACAGGGAGGCGTGTAGAAAAAGAAGAAAACGTCCCACCGCGAGAAGGTATAATAGAGTATTCAAGTTTTTTACTACGCAAGAGTGTTGCAGCAGGCAAAGGAGAGCTCCATACCCGCCAAGGGGTGGTAGCACATAAGGCAATTGTCGAAGACGAAGTAGTAGGCGAAGAACGTGTTGCAGAGGAAGGCATAATAGTGGATAAGGATAGGGTTACCGATGATGTAGTAAACCTTGAACATAAAAAAACGGAGAGAGCAATGGAGCAATGCCTCAAGGTTGAAGATCTAGACAACATATCTTTTTACGCGGTCAAAAATTTCCTAACGGTCGAGGATCTCCTTAATGAAATGTACGAGTCCGAATTGAATTTATACCCGGAGAGTAAACTTGTGATTATAATAGCACTGACGTGCTTCATTTGGATATGCGCAGTAATTTTGTTGTCAAGTCATGATCAGGGCGACGAGAAGCCGTCGTCTTTTCCTGCATGGATCACGTCAGGGACGTCTCACAGTGCGACTTCTCCAACTCACACCAAATTCTCACCTAATTTGTATATTTGCTCTACGGAGTACTGCCAGAAGGAAGGCATGTACCTTAAATCTTTATTCAGCAAAGACGTGTCGCCATGTGACAACTTCTACCAATACGTCTGCCACTCCTGGAACAACGATTTTCGCGTTTTACCTGAGGGTAGCGGCATCGCTGTATCGCGAGACACCCTCTTGCAGCAAGAAATAGCACACAAAGTATTGGAGAATTTACTGAACAGTCACAATTATGACCTGCTACAAGCTAGGCAGCTGTACGAGGTATGTACACATCGCCCTAAGGACAGCTCAGTCGTAGCACTTCGAGAAATATTCAAGTCTTGGCCCCAGAAGACATGGCCCATAACGAACTCTCCGAGCGCATTAGACATGTCGCATGTGTGGCTTACAGCTGGTATTCTTATGCGGGAATTCGGAATCGAGGCATTTGTCGGCGTAGCTGTTGGACTCCACGGGGATTCAAACAAACCGACCGTTGAACTGGATCTCCCAAAAAGCTTATATTTCAAGGGCGACAACATGTACCCAAATATTGCCCTCGTGTTTAGGGCGGCTATTCGCGAGACAGCGGTTGAGTTTGGGGGCGTTGACTTCGTTGACCAGCTAACGCCAGAAATCATGTCCGTCTTTATGGGACTCGCACAGCGGTATCCGACCTCCATCAACGCTGAGGTCCAAGAAACCACGTTTGACAGCATCCGCGAAGGATTGCGCACGTTCCTTTCAACAGTCTTCGGAGGTGACATTCCAATGAAAAGGAATATCATCGTAAGAAACCCGCAATTTATCCACGTCGAGTTGGACACTCTCCTTAAAAATAGCAGCGCAACGGCTCTTCTCAACTATCTGGGATTTCGGCTCATCGTCTCCGTCGCTGCTTTTCTTCCGGAGCGTATGCTAAACCTTCAGATGTTGCTCAGCATTGAAGCCACTGGCCGAGTGCTTACTTCGAACACGAGCTGGGTTCTTTGCCTCCTGGCCGTGGAGAGGGTGCTTCCAACGTGCCTGGTCAAAGCGTACGCCAAGGTCAAAATCGAGAGCGGTGCGGACCTCCGGAGCCGCGTGTGGTTGTCCCAGCTCGAGAGCAGCTTTGGACGCAATGCTCGTAGGCTCCTCTGGATGGACCCTCTAACATACGAGTTTGTCCTCAGCAAGATGCAGAGTCACCGACTATATCGCTTCTTCTCTCCGATGCTGCTAGCGACAAATTCCTGCGCAGGTTCGATCCCGAAGTTTGGTGACAGTGCGCTGGTCATCTATCACGAGGCGTGTAAGCGGTTTCAGCAGGCGCTCCTGCATCGACTGAATGATGGGACCAAATTTCGGCACCCTGGGTTTGTCTTCGACACACGAAGCAGGTTAGCACAGATAACTTTTAAAATAGAAAAGCCCGGGGGCTTACTTTCGTAGCCACAATTATGCTGCTTGGCACAATTTTAACTCTTGAAACATACGTGCACAGAAGCCTCATAGAACAGGCCCAGACATCATAACAATAATGCAGAAGAAACAAAATGTGGGGGGCAAGTTGTCATCGTCAGTCACGTACACTCTAAAAAAAAAAAGGGGGCATCACCTTACATCCTTTTGCCTCATATAATGCAACTCAAAACTTCAGTTCGACGTACAGCACACTATAATCGAACAGACTGCCCCAAATTTTACGAGGGGCTTGATAACCGGTGCGATATAACTTATTAAACAGCTAAAGTACGTATCAAAGACCACAGAAATAAAACACTGAGGTTTTGCTCTAAGGCCAAGGAAACCCCGATTTTTCTTTTGTAGTCAGTAACACGAACATTAGCTATTTTACTAAGTTATACCACATGGCTATCAAGCCTCTCGTGAAAGTTGGTACCGCCAGTTTGACGTCAGTTCGCTGTACGTCGAACTGAAGTTTGGTGGTGCATAATATGGGACAAAAAAGGTGTAAGGTGGTACCATTTGTTTTCTTTAGAGAGAGAAAGAGAATAGTTGTTTATTTACAGTTACAAAGAGGTCACCCTGCTTAACCTGTATCTGAAATAAGCACTGCGTAATATATCGTGTTACGTAACTATATGACACGTGTTCCCAGTGTAGCACGTACCATCACTACCGTCAGTAGGACATTGGGATAATAGACCCTTTTGTAAAGTCAGCCTATCCACTCTGTCCATAGCCAAACCTTCTAACGGCGGCATTACGCAGCTCCTACAGAGCGAATACCTTTGAGACCATAGACTCGAAAGCGGGGAATTTACTCTAACAAGTTTGTCCTTTTACGTTACCTTCGATTTACCTTCGATTCACCAAGTCGAGGGTGCTTGGTTATGGCGATTGTTCTCATATCACAGCCATCAGAGTAGGAATATTGAACTTTTACAGACTGCCACTAGATGGTTCTGACTTTTGGAAAGTGCCTATTGATCCGGGCTAAGCTCTCTGCCTTGGCATCGTCACTTTGGCGCTTTAGTATTATTTCCAAAAGTAACCTATGTGTCCTCTCGTCTACCCTCCTCGTAGGTTCAGCGCGGCCCAACGCCAAGTGTACGTGCCGCTGGGGCTGGTCAACGACTCCGTTCCGACCAACGGCACGATGTTTGCCTTCCACCTGTCTCGCGTCGCCGTGCGCCTCTTCGGCAGCCTGGTGCAGCTCGTCAACCAGTACCAGGACGAAGACTTCACCGATCACTCTCAACGAACGCTGGACGAGCTGCTAGACTGCCTCGCCAGGGATTGGCGTGCCCTGCCCAGCTCCTTCGACGCGGAGTCCAAGGACGTCGTGTCTGACGTCGACCAAGCCCGCTACGCGATCCTCACCCAGACGGCGGCGCTGCGCCTTGCCTTTGTTGCTTTCCAGGTTGGTAACAATCGTCGCAGACATATGAAGAACCGCAAAGCGTGGCGAGACTCGAGTATCTTAATAACGCTCTGCAGTCAGGGCCATAATACGCCGTGGAACGAATGACGAGCCAAGCGTGAACGACCATACACTGCGTTCCTTAACCCTGCCATGCTATCTAAGCGTTTACCTTTTTTACGCTTTCCACATTTCTTGTGATTCGGGCAACCCAGCGGGCACGGAGAGAGTGACTATCAGTAAGTCATATTTTAACCAGACGACGCGGAAACCTCGCCCACCTACGGGGGCGCCCCGGGGTACCGAACGCGCGCGGCATGTGACGACTCCGTGACGTAGCTTGTCCTGGCCAGCTCCTGCTGTAAAAGTCATTTATAGTAATTATAATGGAAAAGGTCCGCCATTTTTCGATGACTTCTGGCTGCCGCAAGCGGCGGATCATGGAGGCCGACCATTGGGGTCCCACACATGGTTACCAACTAGCTTTACGTCTTATTTGCTAGATTTCACAGTCTTCCTAAGGACTGATCCACGTACTTACCGGTCATTCCTTTTGAAGCTTTCTTTTCGGATAACGCGCAGCTGTACGGCATCAGGTTAACACAAAACTAAACCAGATACACGGCTTCACGCTATGGTCGCGAGCTATGGTTTTGATAGGCGCGCCTCGGGAATACGAAACCGCGTAACCACCAGATTTCCCAGATTTCAACAGAAGGGAAGTTAATGCAGCGTAATGAGTGTATTGCCTTTTATAAGCGCTAGAATAGCTCAGAATATAGTCTGCAACGTTAAATTATCACTGTTTATTTTGGTGAAAGTTTTCAGTCTTCGCGATTACCATTGCAATTGTCGTCCTTCAGCTGGCAATGCTGGTTTCTTTCTCTCGTGTTCTGTCACGCTCTTTCACTCGACACCCCAGATGTCGGCGCACAGGATTTTCCACCCTCCTCGCCCACCTTTACCCCCTGGCTCCTGCCTTACGACTGGTCAGAGCCGCTGAAGACTTTTTTCTTTTAAGTCGAGATACAAAATGTAACAACGCGCAAACCGTTTCAATTATTTATGAAAGCAGTTTTTGTTCAGTATTTTAGATCAGGAAAGAAACAAATGCAGTTTATTGAGTACGGAAACAAGAAATGACCCGTCGACATACTCGCCACCAAGCGGTGAAAAAGGCGGCGCATACTAGAAAGGGGTGGTGGGATCAGACGCCGACGCGCGCGAAGTAGAAAGGTTTTTGAATGAACGCGGCGGCGCTGCGGTCGTATGGAATGAAAGATCCGACCGGTTCCGAACGTTCCGAAGGCCTTCGGCTAGCAGGTTTGGCTTGCGGTTTGGCCGTTTGGCGGTAAGGCAGCGCGAAGTGACTTTCGTTCTGAATTAATCTTTACCCCTTGTTTGCTGTCGCTTGTGGCCATTGAAGTGTCATGCTGAACTAGTCTTTATTCGCGCAGCAAATGAAATGCCAGCCGTCCTGGCCGCCTGCTTCATATAACCGATCCAACATATGCTTTAGGGGCGCCCTCTCGAGCCGTCGACACGGAGTGCAGCAGCCGTGAGCGCTTGCTGAGCTCACTACCCTTCCTCTAGTTCACAGCCACTCAGCGACCAAGGACGTCATAAGGAGGTTATTTTTTGCGTGTTTTTGAAAATTTAATTTGCCTATAATTTTTAAAATATAGCGAAATTCGAGAAAAGAAAAGTTTCCTTAAGTTACTACGTTCAGTGCACTCAGGTTCGGTGCAAGTTAAAAACCAGTAAAAAAAAAAGTCGTTGCAGGGCCAAGCTACCAGTGACAGTCGAAATGAAAAGACAGGATCGTCTTCTGCCGGGCAGGAAACCGGTTCCCACTTTTCCTTCTCTCCATCTCCTCTCGCACTCTTCTCTCCTCCTCTGTGTCCCTCTTTCTGGAATGGAGAGGAGCAATTGCGAAAGAGTTTCCTCCTTTCTGGCTGCTCCTTTTAGCGCTCCACCGTGGTTCCCACGTGCTGCAAGCCTTTCTAATATTGACCGATTTAGTAGTTTTCGATGACGCTCAGTAAGTTTCTAATTATAGCTATATGTTTATTTTCAACAATTAAAACGGTCATTAACACATTTCAGTCTATAAGCCGACTGATCGTTAAATTAAGTCCTCTATACTGTGTCCCCCTGGCCGTAAAACAAGCCTGCACAGACCGCATCAGTGTAGCTTTCATGGCTTTATTAAAAAAAAATCTGAAGCAAAAAAAAAAAAAAAAAGAAAAACTGTGGAGTCACGAAACTGCCCGTCATTCCTCTTTGCATAAACGTGCATTTCACCCATTTAAGTTATATTATCTGGGCAGACATTGAAACCTAGTTCAAACTATATGGTGTAAACAATGACCTCACAGATGGCATAACCCCCATATTATGTTATCGCCAAACTTTTACGTTCCGCGGGGTGCCGTTATCCACAAAGTGCACTGATAGGAATACCCATATAGAAATACTGGAACGAAATTGGGTAGTAAATATTCTCGCAGGAAATAAGCATTCAATGAAATATATTGAAATTGTCTCTGGGTGTTTTAGACGTTTAAGTGCACGGCTTAGGGCTATAATAAAACAAACAAAAATTATAAAATATTTTTGAATGGAAAATTTGTGTCAAAATGAAGGAAAAAGGAACAATAAACAGGCGAAATAGTACGAGACAGTCATTATTACATCTATCAAGTTCGCGAAAATCGACATGGAAATGCAAGAAACACGGTTAATGCAGGTTCTGACGCCCTTGGGGAAAAAAAAAAAAAAAAAAAAAAAAAACTTTAACATAAAAACGCCTTTGTCAATTAATTTAGTTTAGAGAAATAAATACTCCTTGATTTCAACTCACTCGTTTTCTGAAGGCCTCGATGCGAACAAGCAAAAGCATAATTTCAGTATATGCACCTAAGTTTCGAAAAGTAGTAGCAAAAACAAATACATATAAATCCGTAGAGCTCGTGAGGCCGAGCGGATACTTAATATTCATCACCTTGGACGGGAGCGGGGGACTCAGTTTACCTTGCACGAAAATATTGTCCCGCGCCGCGAACAAACTACATGAGCCTGTGTAGCGCTTGCATCAGAGGAAGCACGATTTCCAGGTATTCCGTTTCCAACCCCTTCCTGCGTCCGCCAAAGAGATTTCGTGGCAGCTTTGGAAGCCTCCCAACTCAAAGCCCGGTTGCACGCCGAGGTGCCATTGAAAGATGATCGCGTGCGATAGTCACCCCTCCGCGCCCTCACCAAACCTATACTCTGTTTCATACTTAGCGTGCAACGCTGTCAAAGCTACTGGCGCGAGCGCGTGGCTTCATCTATGGTTTTGCTTGCGCGAGAACGCGTGCAAATGATCAACGAGATCAAGCCCCACGCTCGCGCCAGTAGCTTTGACAGCGTTGCACGCTAAGTATGAAACAGAGTATAGCGTTCGTGCTCTCGGCACGTGACAGCCGAAATCGAAAAAAAAAAGGAAACATAAACGGGGGACGCAACACACGAAGGACTCAACCTTCGTGTGATTTCCCCACTACGTATTAAAGCACGAAACGTTTTTAACGCTACCCCCAATCCCAAAATTTTGTCCGTTCGTGCGTTTTCCGCTTAATTTAGCGGGGAAAGTGGCGTCGCGTGACCTATACGCCAACTCAGTTTCCCCGCTAGATCTAGCGGGAAAATTCGTGTCTTGTGGACAAAACATCAATTCAGTTTTCCCGCTAAACTTAGCGGGAAATCGACGTCACGTGACCTATACACCAATTGAGTTACCCGCTAAATTTAGCGGGAACATATACGTCATGTCACACACCGATTTCCTCACCAGTTCCCGACGATGCGTCTAATGCATTATAAAACTTTGAAGGTAAAGCTAAAGATTGCTGCCATTTGTTTTTCCATGTTCCGACGAGCTTACAATTAATCAATTACTTCCGTGAATGGTATAGTCGTTTACGTAGAATCCGGCTAGAACAGGCGTTCACGCTTACCAGTCCCGATTGTACTTGTTTTCTTCTTCTAATTATTATTATTGTGTTAAAACCATTAAAGTGCTCTGAAGTCTGGACGACCGTTATTAGTTGAAGACTTTTCTACGTCAAAAAGTCATTCGAGTAGTTAGCCAAATAGTTTAATCGAGCGTAAATTATACAGAAAGATACAAGAAAGCCCCGCACAGTCAATGAAATGTAGCGTGTTGACAACACACGTAGAATAATCTTAAAAGCAGTCGGAATAATTACATCACCCGATAATCTTCAAACTGTAAAGCCACGAGCGTGCGCCTAGCGCGGTCCAATGCTTTTGCTGCACGAGACTTGAGGAGTCCGGAGCTAGGAGTCAAAGCCCTTGCACTCTCCTGTGACACGCCGGATAGTTGTCGCGAAGTATAATCAATTTTGTTTACACATACATAGTAATTAATTAAACAAGTTATGAGAAACATAATGAGAGAAAACAGCGCAAAAAGGTAACTTCTGTACCTTTTCGCGCTGTTTTATCTCATTATGTTTTATCTCACAACTACCAACAGCCCGCTCTCAAGCTTATTAAAATTACGGGGGACTGTGGGTAGCCTTTTATTGGAATTCACCGCTGCTTTGAGTCCTGCTGGAGAGAGGTACACCTAAAGTATGCCGTCCATTACCCGATTCCCTTTAAGTGCCGCCATTGTAGTGATTAGTGCAGAGCCGGCGTTATTGGCTATCGTTACAATCAACAAACGCGACTTCCTGAGCTATGGGAAGCTCCGGCAACAACGTTTTGTTCTGTTGCGGACTGTTTCAACATTACTGGAGGGTTAAGAACCGTTCTCTACGGTTTCCGATAAAACTTCAGGCAAGTGGAAACTATATAATTTTAAGCGCCAAGATGACTGCAGAACCGTTACTCAGAGGCGTAGCTTATTTACTGGCTCTATATTTCTTGCCACTCTGCCGAATTCTAATTGGCTGGCGCCTTGACGTCCTAATATATATATATATATATTTTTT